GGGCTGGGGGTGTAGCTCAGTGGTGCCACACCTGCCCGGCAAGCACAAGGTCCTCAGTTGGGTCCCCAGCACCAAAAAGAAGATTAATTCAAGAAATTTAAGATACTGCTCTATGGTAGAACATTTTCCTACCATGAGGTTCTGGGTTCCATCTTCAGCACTTCTGAATAAAAGAGATGAGATTTCCAATTCCCATTCCTATTTAATGATCCTTTTCCTTGAGAATGATTAAACTTGGGCTTCAAGATTTTGACCCTGTGCATGTTGCACTGCTTGCTTCTGTTCCCCAAGTGTAAAATGTGATCTATCCTATCTAGTTTTTTTTTTTCTCACCAAGAATCATTTCAAACTTCACCACAGCAGCACAGGGACTGGTTCTGAGCCAGCGTGCTGGTTTCCTTCAGGGTCTGCCTGTGGGTACTGTGCTTGATCTACAGGTGACTGTCTGAGGTAGTTTTTTGGTGGCTGCCTCTCCTCAGCCTTCAGTCTCCTTGCCTCCAGGTGACAGCCTTTGACATTTCCATCAGTGGAGGTCTTGCTTCTCTCTAGCTTATTAACTCCCCTGCCATGGGGTCTCACATCATCGTCTAAATGTAAAAAGCTAATGGGAAGATCCCTAAGAATCCTAGGACGGAGAACTCGGAAAGCAAGGGCGTCTATTCTGTTTTTAAAATCTCATAGGAGAATGTTGCCATAGCCTTGGAAGAGAAAGTTGATGGAACCCAGTTGCATGCAGACCATCCAGGGCAACGGGCTGGGCCAAATAGTCCATGAGTTCATGCGCGTAAAGGACTTGGTGCCTGGCACATCCAACAGGCTGCATGAATGAAGAAAACATGCAGAAGACACAGCTGTTATGCAACGGAGGTAGAAAGAGTATAAGGAGAGAGCAAACCCAGTCTAAAAGAACAATGAGACATACAAGCCAAGGGCAGAGTGGACATGAGGAAATAAGGAAGGAGCTCAAAGATAGATTTTGAGGGAGTGCATTTACAGGAGTAATACGATGCCCAGAAACATTCCAGTTGTTTGCACTGTGGAATTTGCTAAAATCCTTCTGATGTTCATAACCAAGAATAAATTCAATTAAAGATACATTTGAAATAGAAGAGTAGTGAGGGAGTTTGGCTTCACAGATACTATGATCATTTGAGAAGAGCATCTCTAAGAGTAATGCTTAATATGGTACACAATGGTCTAAATGGAGACCAGTTTTTAAATATTGTTACTGTACTTGCTTTCTGGCTCCTCTCCTCTTCTGCTTTCCTCCTCTCTTTCCTTCTTTCTTCTTTTCCTCGCCTTCCTCGTTCTTTTCTGTTTGCTGAGGACAGAACAGGGAGTAAAACACTACAGAGAATGATGTGCTATCAACTGTTGGCCGACAAGTTTGTTCTCATCTTGGGTCGAATCTTTTCCCGTCTCCTTCTTAGTTACAGTAGTTTTCTGCAGATCGTCACATTGTCATGAGAAGACTGAAGAATAGAGCTCAGTTCATTGTTCCAGTATGGTTAGGACTGAAAGTTTGAATTGACCGGGGAAACACACACAAACACTGTCCCCCCCCCCCGCCCCCGCAGTATAACACTCTG